AATTTTGACGATCGGTCCAGTAGTTTCGGAGTTAAAGGAAATAGTTCACTTTTTAACATGGGTTTTGAACTGGAATAGCAGTTCCGTAGCTTGGGCTGAGACGAGCATAAATCAGGAGCTTTTACAGCCCGACGATCACCCTAGGCAAAGATATTCTATTTCTCGTCCCGAAAAAGGTGTCTTGCGTTGAGGATGTGTGCCTTGCATATATTTCCATCCAGTATGAAAAGAGCATGGGTCCCGAAAATTCTTCAGAAACTAGAGAAATTATCTACGAGAACTCTAGAGAAATTCTCGTACTGATCAATTAGGACATACAGGGGAACATTATTAGATCGAGCAGATCGCCCAAATGCCGGTGGCTGCGATAATTTCTCTGTTTCTGAAGAATTTTCGGGACCCATGCTCTTTTCATACTGGATCGCGTGTGCCTTACAGAAACTGAAAAGTTCTTCCTATATCAAAATATAGAGAAAAAAAATCTTTTGTTATAAAAAGGTTTTATTTTCTTTGCTGATTATTTTGAACATAAAAAATAATAAATCGTTGCAAAAAAAATAATTTCGTGAAAGTGAACTATTTCCTTTAAAGGGACCCTCCCACCTTAACATTAGATTTGAGTTGAGATAGCCAAAATGGGGTCCCTGGCTCACAATTACCGGTTTCGGCACTCACAACATCGAAAAATGCCTTAAATCGGAAATATTGAATTTCAAAATTGCAGCATTTTGATTCAGAGGGGCTAATGCTTAGGAATACCCCTCTGAATGTGTGACGTCAGCGCAAATATCTAACGATTTTTAAATGTTTGACTAAAACGTTTCGTAGCACGCGGTGGTATATGCTATTTGCGCGCAACATCTGCCGCAAACGCCGCACTTCTAAAATAAAGTCGCTAGAAACAGCGGAGATCCCAAAAAAGTAAACAAAAGTAAAAGTCAAATATCTTGAAAACCGGTGAATATTTTTCGGTAAAATTTGGTAGATATTCGTTTTCGCTCTTTCTGAACCGAGCGACATCACTTTCATGCCAATTCATAAACTTTTTTGAAGGTGGGAGGGTCCCTTTAAGAGGGGGGGCTATGAAGAGTCCCCCCCCCAGTAGACCGTGTTATACGCAGACCCCAGTGAGGCGCTGGTTGGTTAAGTTGTAGGTTTTATGATTTAGGTTGTAATTTTTGTACAACTGGTTTGGTCAGGTTTGGTTAGGTTAGTTTGGGTTTGATTAGAAAGCATCTATTGGTATAGCACCTCTCCTTGGTTGCCAAAAAACAAGTGGGACACCTGCTTTAGGACTACCTACTGTATCAGTATCTTGTTCATTATCACATTCACCTCGGCTGAAAAGCCATGACTTTTGTGGATGCCACTGTACCTATCACTACGTTTCCATGATACGCCTTAATCGATTTAGCGAAATTTCACGTGTGTTTTTCTTGGAAACTATTTTGACTTACCTTATGCAAAAAATGAGCATATATATATGGTTTTAGGCAGCTAGCACCTAATCCTATATTTACATTTTTAAGTCATGCCTAAATGCTATGATAGAGCAAATCCATTTTTGAAAATCGGCTTAGCTTGTGCCATGGAATCGTAGCCTATGTTTAAAGGGACCCTCCCACCTTAACATTTGATTTGAGTTGAGATAGCCAATATGAGGTCCCTGGCTCACAATTACCGGTTTCGGCACTCACAACATCGAGAAATGCCTTAAATCGGAAATATTGAATTTCAAAATTGCAGCATTTTGATTCAGAGGGGCTAATGCTTAGGAATACCCCTCTGAATGTGTGACGTCAGCGCAGATATCTAACGATTTTTAAATGTTTGACTAAAACGTTTTGTAGCACGCGGTGGTATATGCTATTTGCGCGCAACATCTGCCGCAAACGCCGCACTTCTAAAATAAAGTCGCTAAAAACAGCGGAGATCCAAAAAGTAAACAAAAGTAAAAGTCTAATATCTTGAAAACCGGTGAATATTTTTTAGTGAAATTTGGTAGATATTCGTTTTCGCTCTTTCTGAACCGAGCGACATCACTTTCATGCCAATTCATAAACTTTTTTGAAGGTGGGAGGGTCCCTTTAACTAGATTCATTCAGTTTGAACCCGTTCCAGTGTCTCTAGTAGAAATTTTTGACTGAAGGCTCCTTTTATCCTATTGAACCTATTGATTTGAATATACCCTTTTCACACTTCACACTTCCCACTTCCAGACTTCCAGTGCACCTACAAATTGAAATGACATGTCCCGACTCCCAGCAAAGAACGAGAGGCGGAAAATTGTGACTGCAGTAAAAATAATACGTAGGAAGCGTTTATAGCAAATACCTACAATTTCCAGCCATATTCTGGCATCCAAAAACAACGAAAACTTTTACATTTGACTTTTATCGTTGTTTTTAATCGAATTTTTTCACGAGAATTTACCTTGCGGCTGCCTGCGGATATGCGGCGCGTTTGTCTGAGTTGCGCCAAATACTACGCAAAGCTTATTTCACTATTCTGCTGCAATCTTATTGTAAATCCGCAGCAATCACTATTCATAAGCCAAATCAAACCTCAACGTGAAGCAAACAGCAAAAAAAAACAGACAAACAAACAACAAAACAAACAAACAAACAAACAAACAAACAAACAAACAAACAAACAAACAAACAAACAAACAAACAAAAGCACTGTTATCACTAGTTCAAGAATTTTCAATGATGATGTTATCGATTTTAGCAGCCGCTTTGAATAAGGGAAAGCTGCTCACCGGGGACCTTTCGGCTTTGTGCTACATAGGTTGCACGCGCCGCGCCGGCGCGAATGGCTTATCGGTTTCAGTGAGGGCCTAGGGCTCAGCATCCGCGACTAGTCGTAATATTCTGATACTCAGCCCCTCCCATCATGCACAGAAGGCATCTTGCTCCCCAACGAGATGTAGATGTAGTTGATTGCGGCGCGTCCGGAACTTTGGCTTCGCATAGTCCGTCCGCAAAGTCGGCCGGCGCATCGTCGGCGCTGCCGTAGGTATGCCGAGTGCACCACCTGCGTATAACAGCTGTGTTACCATGCCCGGCCGGATGCCGTTGCGGGTCGAGGTTGTCGCGTTTTTTTTTGGGGGGGGGGGGGTTGGTTGGTTAGACCCTTTCGGTCTGACGAGACCATTTCAGAGCCGGGAGGATGATAGGACATAGGGGGAGACATTGGTCTGGGCAGGCACCCTAGTGAGTCACCGGGGCTGAGCCCGTCCAGAGGACAGGCCGACCAGCCCCAAGGTACTCACTGCACCCGGCTACGGGGTGCGCTCCCTCGGGAGTAGCGGTGCCGCTCCAAGGGAGCAGCCCGCATTTGCCTGTCCAGTCCGGAGGGGGTTGCAGCGTGGAGGAGAAGGACTTTAATATCCCGAGGATAGAAGCACGGAACGGTGGTGTTGTCGCGTATTTGCTGTGCTTTTTTTTTTTTTTTGTTTAGTCGGATCTCTCTCCACTGGGCTCATGTTCTTATTATAGGAGACAGCACCAGCTCCTCCTCGTCCTATTCTCCCTCCCCCCAGGCTACGGCTGAAGTGGGAGCCTACCCCACACCGGTGACGCAGCCGGGGACGACACCCGCGGAACGGGCGGAAACGGGAGTCGAATCCTGAACCCGACACCGCCTGTACCGCGAGTCGACGTTTTACGGAACTGCGCGACCAGGGCCGCTGACTATGGAGGGCCGGGCCGAACGGGGCTGAGGGGTCCAGAGTAGAGGTGGCAAAATGTGAACCCGAGGACCCGGTCCAAAGAACCAGTCTGGACCCATTTGGGTCCAGACCGGTTCCTGGAAATTTTCTGACGGGTCCAACCGGGTCCTACCATAAACTATACATCTTGCACACTACACATTATTGCAAAAAATTAAGTGAATGAAGTGAATGTTTCTTTGCACACAGTAGCTCATGAGTATTCCCAGTGGGAAATAAGCTGTTTTACATGATGCAACTAATGATACCTACAGGCTACAAGAAGTTATTATTAATTGACTTTTGGGGAACGGGTCCAACTGGTTCCGATTCCAACTAAGACCGGGTCTGACTGGGTCCAGAAATGTCCAGCCGGGTCTGGTTCGAGTCTGGTTCCCAAAATTTTCATCTTTTGCCACCTCTAGTCCAGAGCCCCCTTGTCCGTTAGCGGCTGGCAAAGCACCAATACGGCGAGTGTCAAATGTTAATAATATGAATAGTCACATTGTCAGCCCTTGATCATTCTCTGTTTATCCCTACCAAAGCCCCACTGCACTGCCAGTGACCCTTCCCCCGCCCCCCGGCGCCACTCGAGTGACTATCGCCGGCCGTGGCCTCTGCCGGGCTCACCCGACGTTCCTTTTAGGCGCCACTGGCAGTTCCCCTCCCCCCGACCATCGGAGGCCCCGCACGGTGCCGACGCCAGGGCGCTCAGTGCCGACCAAACCACCTTGTGCTACATATGGGGTCACCCCGTGCGACTCCATGTCTAAATCACAATTACAAGTAATAAAAAACGTGTATTGCACGAAGTCAATGCGGCCAGGCCGCCAGTGGCATCAAACGTCTTCGAGGAAAGGTGAGATAAATATTCGTAAATGTTCTATTTGATATTAAAAAGCTAAGTGTAGCATATCCAATATCCATATTCAGTAACTCATGAACTGTATGAGACGCAACCATAGCTTTTCAATGCGAAATATGTCACTGAGAGAGCACTTTGGAGTTTGGGACAATTTCACACTTCACAATATACCAACAACAAACAAATTGCGGGACAATGGAAAGTAACAACTAAATATGGAAGCTGAATTGCGATGCACTCATAAAACAAACAGCGGGCAAATGGTACGGATGACCAGCAGTCGCCGAAATTGCACACCATAGAAAACAACCAGCAATTTCAAACCCAACAAATTTATGCAAATTGGAACGGTTCTATGAATAAAAGTCATACGACAGCCGAGGACCTTATAATGAAACGCGTCGGCAACCGCACAGGCTACTCGAAAGTCGAAACGAGTAACACTCTCACTTTTGATAAATAATGCTTCAAGAAGAACATAACAATAACAACACAAGTTACAATGCGCATTGCGCAAGTAATAAAATGAGAGAAAAAAAAATGTTGCGGAAATATGAAGCACACGTATGATCACTGTAAACTGTTCTGTTTATGAGCACGTAGATTGTAGCATCCGGCCGGTAGGTACTAGGTACTCTTGCACACCAATGATATGACCAGCGATAGATACTATAGAAAAACTACACGAAATCAAAACACTGCTACAAAACAATCCACAACAAATACAGTGTGATAAATATATAAATAAGTTAATAAATAAGTTAATTAAACGTAATACAAAAATCGAAACAAGAATAGTAACATGGAAAGATGAACGTGAGCTATGTACAGATGACGATGCATTTGAAGTGGGAATCCCTAGGTGGCTACGGGACGCTGCAGCGGGGGTGTCTTATCAGACCGGCGCGGCAGCAGTGGCCAGCCCGACTTCAGGCAATCCCACCCGTCAGCGGCGGGCGGCCCCCACCTGTCCCGGTGGCACGGCGGCCGTCCCCACCGCGGCTGCCCCGGTCAGGGCGGCCACTCGGCGGCGGCTAGAAGTTGAGCGAGCGCCGCGCCTTGGTGTTCTCCTCGTAGTAGATCTTGTGGATCCGGAACGGCGCACTGGTGTAGGCCAGGCTGAGCCGCATCCGCCGGCGCCACTTGGCCTCGGGCGGCGGCGGCGGCATCGTGGAGTCCCCGTCTGCGGCAGGGGGCACGGTCGGCGCTCGTCAGACATATCATCAGTCCTACATACCCTACTACATAGCTGGCAACCTCGCAACCATCCAGAAGCTGCTCAACTTCGCGGCTCGGGTGATCGCGGGAAAACGAAAGTTTGACCGCGTGTCAGCTGTGCGAGACAGGCTGGGGTGGCTCGACTCGTCTCAACTCTTCCAATACCAATCCCTCTGCCTCCTTGACAAAGTCCTCTCCTCTAGCCAGCCCGAATGCATTGCCCGTCAGGTCTGCCTCAACCGGGACCATCATGGCCATGTCCGGCACACCAGACAGGACGATCTCCTGCACGTGCCACCCATCCGTTCGGAGGCGGGCCGGCGACGGTTTGTATACCGCTCGCCCCACCTCATGAACGATCTGCCCATATCGGTGCGGAACCAGCGAGGTCCGCGGTTCAGGCGAGCCCTGAAGGCCCACCTACTCTCGAGACGAGACACGTGATGAACGCGTTTTTTATCATGATGCCGTGCAGGTGGTGTTTTTTTTTTTATCCGGAGCTATATGTATATTTTAGGTTGTGTAACATCGTGAGTGTGTATTTTACCCTGCATGTTATGATCCGATTTTATTGACGTGAAGGCCATAATAGCCACTTGTCTTGTGGATGGCTCTTTAATAAACTACTACTACTACTACTAAGTATAGTTACGGCGGGGCCCGGCCGGCGCTCGTCAGATATATCATCAGCCCTAGCCCGGCCTACACATACAATGTAGGGCACGGCCGGTATCCGTCCTCGCCATCCTCAGTCCAACAAACCCATCCGCATCCCCGGCTCACTCTCCCTGTCCGGGCTAACGGTCATCCCACCTGACAACCGGCGGATGACGTCGGGTCCCCAACGGCACCTCAGTAATTCCTCTCTGGGGTGACCGTTTGAGAGACGGGTGGACTGTCCCTACGGAGCAATCCGGTCTAGTTCACGAGTTATGAGCCAATATGTCATAAAATATCAAAATCGGGGAAATTTAGCATTTGATAAGCTCTGGAACCTCGCCTTTAACCGCTAAACAAAATGGCATTTGTGCTTTCTACAATATTTTAATCTATCGAGAGCCGCTTGGCGTGTGTCGCTACGATGCCAGCTAAGGAGCCAAGTTAGAGGGGGCGATGAAACCCTCTCACCTAACATCGGTGCGTTTAATGTTACCTATCAATAGAAAAACACAATTCTAACGCATAGTGTCTGTCTATTTCAAACAACCTGCGGTTACGACTGGACCACCGTACTATACCGCGGTATAAGAAAGGTCCTTTATACTATTTTGAGGATTTAACACTCGTATGTGTATTGTGTAGGCGGGGGGGGGGGGGTCGGATGAACCCCCTCATGGTTTTTCGCGAATAACCCGCGCAAAAAGCGGCTGATCGTGACGAAACTTTCAGTACTCTCGAGTTGATCAATTTTACACCTACTCTCAAAATTTCATGACCCTGACCCAAATGAACTTTGACCTGTGACCTATTTCTCGAGGCTATGTTTGACCGGAATCGCGATTCGGCGTATGTCGGCTCGCATTAGCCGCGCGTTTGCAAGTTTTTCGTGGTTTCAAACGTTCAAACATGTGATTCGATGTTGCTCCCATGCATTAGGGTGGATGTCAAGGTCACCTGAAGGTCAGGTCAGGTCATTGACCTTTGGTGACCTCGGTTCACTTTTTCGAGTTTTACATGTTCCTAGGCTAGTTTTTGGAGCTGAATTCGAATTTAGCAACCATTTGAACATTTACGAAGTAGCTTTGGTGCCTTCGTAACATGTTACGAAGCTGTCGGAGGCGGTTGACAAGCACTACGAAATCCCGTCACGACCCCTATTGGTTGACCTGACCTGACCTCACCCGACCTGGTCTAAATGTTTAAAGACATCATCTGTGACCAATACTTGCACGATATTCGTGATCAGCACCCCGAAAAACCCCATAGCAGTCACACTTTACGACTTCCTAACAGGTCCCGATTTTCCGACTTTTGGGCCATTGACCTGATCCGGAAGGTCAACCAAGGACCTAGGACCTTAAAATTGGGTATCATCGGCTTCCTCTCGTCACGGGCAACACGCTCGTTTTTCCGCGAAGCTCTAGCTCGATCAGGGGCCAAACGGCAAGGGGGGTCCAACCGACCCCCCGCCTCCCCCACCCTACACGTTAGAAGCTGGCAAACGCCGCACACATGCGAGGCTTAAGCTGGATTTGCTATAGGCAGACAGGAATAATTAAAAGGATTTAAGTTGGGGAATGTCCAGATTGCTTCCGAAACGTTTGACGAGCTTTTGGACACCACTTGCCGCCCACGTCACTTTGTGGCTATGTAAGCGAATTAGAAGACCGGCGTAAAAATGGCCCAGACCCTACGGCCTACGGTTTCACGCAAACCACCTCCACGGCAAAGGTTTTTATGTCAAACACTTCCTGCCGTTAAAACCAAGCTGATTGGTTGACGATCATGATATATCCAGTATCCACAAAGCAGCCAGCAAAAACTAAAAAAGGACAATGAAATGGTTTCGCCATCGCTATATTTAGATAAATTTACCGGGAAAGTACGTCTGATGTAGCTAACTGCATATGTATGTATATTTTCCGCAACGTCCTATAACTGGATGTATTACTGTGAGCTATTCAGTGTACAAAAAAGCAACGTAATAGAAGGTAAACGTTACGCCTGTTGTAGCATGGCCAGTGGTCACCGTACTAACGCATCGAAACGCCTGCATCGAATCAATGGCATTATTGCTTGTAAGAATTAGACCAGCATTGCTACACCCTAATAAAAAAACTCAAGCCGAACCATTGATAGATCAAATGGCTTCATCGTAGCCATAGGCTGCTGTGACTATTAGCTAAGTAATCTTGGCTGTGCAACCGTCGAATAAAACGCCAAGTAAAATAAACGCACACTCATAATTCATATCGAAAATAGTAAGAAACAGGCCTCATAAACCCGGAATTATCAGTCATTTTTCTTACAATTTCTGAAATTTATGAGAGCGCGGTTAATATGTTACTTGATTATACATTTAGGCATGTCTCCTAAAACGGTGCCAACAACAGAGCAGAACAAAATACTTGTCAGAAATGCGTTACATATGTCTATCCGCGCAGTTTTTCCCTGTACCATTTGGAAACAACCGACTGACAGGGTTCGTGGCTGCCCCCCCCCCCCCCACACACACACGGGTTGGCGGTCGCTGCGGGCGTACCCAATACCCATCGTCTGCGGTGTCCCTGTCGGCCCAGGGTCCGTCACTGGCCCCCCAGATGTCAGCGGGCGTATAACTCACCTTCCACGGTGTCCCTGTCGTCCCAGGGTCCGTCACTGCCCCCCCCCCCAGATGTGAGCGGGTGTACTCACCTTCCACGGTGTCCCTGTCGGCCCAGGGTCCGTCACTGCCCCCCCCCCCCTAGATGTCAGCGGGCGTATAACTCACCTTCCACGGTGTCCCTGTCGTCCCAGGGTCCGTCACTGCCCCCCCCCCTCCCCCCCCAGATGTCAGCGGGCGTATAACTCACCTTCCACGGTGTCCCTGTCGTTCCAGGGTCCGTCACTGCCCCCCCCACCCCCCCCCCCCCCCCACAGATGTCAGCGGGCGTATAACTCACCTTCCACGGTGTCCCTGTCGGCCCAGGGTCCGTCACTGCCCCCTCCCCCCTTCCCCACAGATGTCAGCGGGCGTATTTCTCACCTTCCACGGGGTCCCTGTCGGCCCAGGGTCCGTCACTGCCCCCCCCTCCCCCCCAGATGTCAGCGGGCGTATAACTCACCTTCCACGGTGTCCCTGTCGTTCCAGGGTCCGTCACTGCCCCCCCCCCCACCCCACCCCCCCCACAGATGTCAGCGGGCGTATAACTCACCTTCCACGGTGTCCCTGTCGGCCCAGGGTCCGTCACTGCCCCCTCCCCCCTTCCCCACAGATGTCAGCGGGCGTATTTCTCACCTTCCACGGGGTCCCTGTCGGCCCAGGGTCCGTCACTGCCCCCCCCCCCCCTCCCCCCCAGATGTCAGCGGGCGTATAACTCACCTTCCACGGTGTCCCTGTCGTTCCAGGGTCCGTCACTGCCCCCACCCCCCCCCACCCCCCCCCCCACAGATGTCAGCGGGCGTATAACTCACCTTCCACGGTGTCCCTGTCGGCCCAGGGTCCGTCACTGCCCCCTCCCCCCTTCCCCACAGATGTCAGCGGGCGTATTTCTCACCTTCCACGGGGTCCCTGTCGGCCCAGGGTCCGTCACTGCCCCCCCCTCCCCCCCAGATGTCAGCGGGCGTATAACTCACCTTCCACGGTGTCCCTGTCGTTCCAGGGTCCGTCACTGCCCCCCCCCCCCCACCCCCCCCCCCACAGATGTCAGCGGGCGTATAACTCACCTTCCACGGTGTCCCTGTCGTCCCAGGGTCCGTCACTGCCCCCCCTCCCCCCCCCAGATGTCAGCGGGCGTATAACTCACCTTCCACGGTGTCCCTGTCGGCCCAGGATCCGTCACTGCCCCCCCCCCCCCAGATGTCAGCTAGCGTATAACTCACCTTCCACGGTGTCCCTGTCGGCCCAGGGTCCGTCACTGCCCCCCCCCCCCCCAGATGTCAGCTGGCGTATAACTCACCTTCCACGGGGTCCCTGTCGGCCCAGGATCCGTCACTGCCCCCCCCCCCCCCAGATATCAGCGGGCGTATAACTCACCTTCCACGGTGTCCCTGTCGTCCCAGGGTCCGTCACTGCCCCCCCCCCCCCCAGATGTCAGCGGGCGTATAACTCACCTTCCACGGTGTCCCTGTCGTTCCAGGGTCCGTCACTGCCCCCCCCCACCCCACCCCCCCCCCCAGATGTGAGCGGGCGTATAACTCACCTTCCACGGTGTCCCTGTCGGCCCAGGGTCCGTCACTGCCCCCTCCCCCCTTCCCCACAGATGTCAGCGGGCGTATTTCTCACCTTCCACGGGGTCCCTGTCGGCCCAGGATCCGTCACTGCCCCCCCCCCCCCCCCCAGATGTCAGCTAGCGTATAACTCACCTTCCACGGTGTCCCTGTCGGCCCAGGGTCCGTCACTGCCCCCCCCCCCAGATGTCAGCTGGCGTATAACTCACCTTCCACGGGGTCCCTGTCGGCCCAGGATCCGTCACTGCCCCCCCCCCCCCCCCAGATGTCAGCGGGCGTATAACTCACCTTCCACGGTGTCCCTGTCGGCCCAGGGTCCGTCGAAGGCCAGCGCTCCGGAGAGGCGCAGCAGACGCATCGGGCCGAACTCGCTCTCCTCGAGCTGCGAGCTGTCGTAGCTGCTGCACAGACTGCTGGCAGGAAATGGACAGATCGGGGTTACATATAGCCATATAGGACACCGGAGTTACTGTCAGTTGGACACGGGCGGAGCGGAGTCATGGGCGGGGACAGCGGGGTTATAACCGGGGACAGCTGGTTATAGCATGGGACAGTAAGGTTACAGTTGGACACGGACGGAGCGGGTTGCAGCCGGGGATCGGGGATCATATAGCCGGGGACAGTGGGGTTGTAGCCGCGGACAGCTGGTTAAGATCGGGGATATAGCCGGGGGGCGGGGACAGCGGGGTTATAGTCGGGAACAGCAGCGTGATACCCGACCGGAAACGGAGCTCGGCTCATGCGATCGGGCCATATTCATAAGATTGCAACAGGTGGGGAATATTCAGTATTCTAATAAAGTATTTTGAATCATCTTGCAAGTATGCTATTTAATGTGTCGCTCGATCATCGTGCCTTATACGGCGGTCCGCACCTGAACGTGGAGTCGGAGCCGGCCGACATGGACGAGTGGCGCGAGTGGCCCGCGCCGCCGCCGCCGCCGCTCCCGGCCGGAGGCGCCAGCAGACTCAGCGCCAGCAGGCCGGCCGTCAGCGACGCGTCGTCACCGTCGGCCTCGTCGCGCGCCGGCGCCCGCTTCCGCACCCGCCTGTCGGCGGAGACATACCCGGTGTCGGGTGGCGGGCGGCGCGTGGCCGGCCGGCCGTCAGATGTCACACGGCGCCGGACCGGCTGGGTGTCGGGTGTCACACATCCCCCGGCCGGCCGGCGGCTGCAGCGCTCAGACGTCGGTGGCAGTGATCGGCCTTGAACGGTCGCGCTAGGCAGGGGTGCCCAGAGCCGTGTTCTCATCAAGCTGCAGGATCCTATCGCCAAATGCCGTGCTGTTTACCATGGCAGGGACAGACTCAAGACTGCAGGTACGTACCGGCAGACCAGTATTTTGCATGTATAATTTATGCCAGGGTCAAATGCGGACCATATTCTGAGACTCTGGCGGGCAGCAAACAAAGCAGCGCGAGGTCGCGCTGTTACCGGCAGAGACCACGAGGACGCCGAATGTAAGAGAAGGAGCTCTGAATCCTGAATGTGACTGAAACTCCTCATAGTCAAGAAATGGCCACTGCTTAGTGCTTTTAACTGCCGAAGTATATTAGCCGTTTTCACGACGGGCTATCCGGCGGGCGGCGAGCGCACCTAATTTGACCAAATCTGCACCTAATCTCTTTTACAGCAAATATCTTTATTTTATGAATTTATTTCAGTGTTTTAATCGATGATGCTCTCTGATAATATGGCAAAGCAGGCATATAAGCAATTAGTGCAACCCTAGATGATAGCTACTAAGAGACACACTGAACCTGATTTGACCAAATCTGCACCTAATCTGCACCAAATGTGCACTAAATGTGTACCAGATGGCCGTCGTGGAAACGGCTAATATCTACTCCCTGAGGTCATTTTGTGACCCCAATATTGCTCTAAGATGAAAAATGACAGAAATATTTTCAAACGTACGCATTGAGAGCTATCGAATGCTTTTTACCGCGTCTTTCTAGCCCTCTTAGTTTTTTAGTTAGAGGTGGGTAGTAACATAATGCCCCCCCCCCCTTCCCACTAGGGCGAAGTTGGCTGAGACCGCCACTGGGGCGCGGGATAAGCAAATGCAGCCATGTGTAGACGAACATGAGCAATGCAATGACTTTACACAGAAACGGTTACAGAGGAGGCCTGGACATAGAAACTGGACAAACAGAAATGACACTCGTGAGCTCTACTGACGTCTCTTTCAGTTGATCGTTATTGACTTTCAGAATCGCAGCTACAAACTAACGCCCACTGGTCCAAAGACAACGGATATGCTGTGGCTGTCAGTGGAAAGAAGAGTAGCATATTCACCATTGCAGTGACACCGAGGCAGCATGGGGCGGCCGGTGGCGCGCGCGGGGCGGTGCTGACCTGCAGATGTGCGGCACCCGCTCGGCGCGGCTGTACTCGTGGTGTGTGACGGGCAGCTCGCACTGCAGGAAGGACATGACCCGGCCGCGGCCCTGCAGCAGCACTCCGAACCAGTCGAGCTCGCAGTCCTCCGCTAGCAGCTGCTGCGTCCGCTGGCACCGGTCGCCGTCCACACACGCCACGTAGGTGCGCAGCAGCTCCTCGTCCACGCAGTCCAGTGCGCCCGGCTGCCGCCAGCGAGCCGAGGTGAGTGGAGATCAGAAATACACCGCGGATGGACAGACAACAACCAACAGCCAGCCACACAAGAACCAACAGACAACAGCACAACAACCGATCTAGGCAACAGCCGCAGTGATCCAACGATCCGGTCCGACCTGCCACAACGAACGACAATTATGGTGTCCTGTGTACTCATCCGAAAGCACCTTCAAAGCAGCTCTCGGCCTGGCAACACAAGATCGAGCTGTTTGACCCAATAATCCTCAGATGACTTAACGAATGGTATTATTGGCAGCGGAAATAATCGGTATCCGCGTCTAAGGTAGACATTCCCCAACCCAACAAGACATCAAGTGCATTGAAACCACGATACCTGCAGGTAACGGAAATTTAAATGCTTTTAACTTACCAACGGTGTGATGCGAGCCGGTGATCGGTGGTCCTGGTAAAATGATGATTCCAGACAGGCCATCGTAATAGATGGACTTAGAGCTCCAGCTGCTGCTGTCAATCAAACGGTGCACTTGTAAATAAAGGAACTTAAGAACGCTAATACCTTCAGACTTGGCACACCATATCATGCATCTTTTCCGCCCATGTTGTAAAGACTTCAGACCTGATCAGGGGCCGTATTCACGTCGACTTCTTAAGTCGATTTTCTTTCGCAAGTATAATTTGGTATTCACGTCGACACTTCTTAAGTTTTTATCGACGGAGTTCACGTGATTAAAAAAATTTACTTAAGAAGAAGGTCAAACTTAAGGAAATTCTTACGAAAATGATCGACGTGAATACGGCCCCTGGTCACCATGTCATTTCAAGGGACCCTACCTCAGAAAAAGTTCCACAGTCACAGCTGCACCGACTGAACCATCGCTTTGAAACTTTCAGCGATTGATAGGAGAATATATATATATATATATATATATATATATATATATATATATATATATATATATATATATATATATGTTACGGGCATTATGTTACATAATATATTATATCGGAATCTTGATATTTACGACCAAAGGTCAAGTAAATTTTGCGACCTCTCGACTATGAGTCAATAGGAGAAAATTGAAATGTGCCTCTTTTGGACCAAAGTCAAACTAAACACTCAAACATCGGATAACAGGTAAACATGATACACTGAATCTGGAAATTGCCACCAATGACCCCTCTTTAACTTAATGTCCCTGAGGTCATCTCAGGTTGAGGTCATGAAGAGTTTCCACAGTTTTTTTTATACAACTTTTGATAGAGACGTGCTAGAGCGATGAAAACATCTTAGATGAGTTCAGCTCGACGATACGGATCGGCTGACACAACATGACTCTGACCTTCGGTCAAATTTTCAAAATGCCCATTCAAGGTCAAACTATAGTTAATTCGACACGTCTCGACGAGATGAACCCGATGCTGGCTGAAGCAATGCCGTGAAATGTCGTGACTTTCAGAGTTAGAAGATCAATTAGAGAAAAACGCTTTTCGTAAAAAAGGGCTGTTTCAAAGCTATTGCCCTCTTGAGGCTAAACCGTTGACCCAAGGACCAATCTGAGAAATTATCTCAGAAGGAGCTTACAAGAACTGACGATTGCGCTTATTCCACGGCGCTGTACCTTTATTAGCTGCTCAGATATGCGCCGATTTGTCAAAAATGTCACAATGGGCAAAATTTAACCTTAGACAACTATTGGTGACCTGATCTTTGACCTGACCTAAAAATGGCAAAATAATTTCTCTATTTTTTACGCTCTTTCAAGTGCTGCAGCCGCAGGCCGCTTACCGCGTGTCGCTCTCGCTACGTGGCCCAGGAGCCGAGTTAGTAGGGGGCCACAGTGACTATAAATAGTAGGGGGCATCCCATCCGGACATGCAAGCGCCCCCATGCTATTCCCCCCCCCCCTAGCACGGCAAGGAAAATTCCAGACAGCCAGCCGTCGGACGAGCGGGCGTCCTTACCGATACCCCTACCTGTCTTGCAGTCCGAACGCAATGAGAAATCAATCGTCCAATAATAGGTATCCAGTATCCACAGTAGCGGCGGAACACCTTCAATTAAGGGGGGGGGGCACTGCCGACTTTTGGTCCTATTCTTTCCATGCAACGCCCATATGCTATAATGTTAAAATGCCAAAATCAAAGGGGGGCACGTTGCCCCGGTGCCCTCCCCGTTCCGCCGCATATGGGTATCCACTCTAAAAACGTGTAGGTTAGGTACTAGCCGTTTTCACGACGGGCTATCCGGCGAGTGCACCTTATTTGACCAAATCTGCACCTAAACACTTTTACAGCAAATATCTTTATTTTATTAATTTATTTCAGTGATTTAATCGATAATACTCTCTGATAATATGCCAAAGCAGGCGCAATTAATGCAGCCCTAGCTGATAAGTACTACGAGACATACTGACACTGAACCTAATTTGACCAAATCTGCACCTAATCTGCACCAGATGTGCACTGCACCAAATGTGTACCAGATGGCCGTCGTGAAAACGGCTACTATCACCAAGAATTAAAGGTAGGCAGTGAGAAGGCAGTGAACTGCTTTCACAATTTATTTCACCGGGAAATAAAATTTACCAGAGTTACAAACCAAGCAAACAACGCCACGGCCACCACTTGTCCAACTCGTAAGTCGTAAACTTGCAAACAATGCCATGCGCTGCAACACGCGCTAAACCACGCGCTCGATGGCATTAAATAACATCGAATCTCAATCTACCAATCATCATTCACCCGTCGGTTCCCATCCAATGATATGAATTGTTTTGATTTTGATACACCACGTGACGTGACCATACCCTAATTTTCTTACGTGAATGAGTTGGTTGCTTAGCAACCACATAGACTCATAATGCACCTCTGATGTAAATATTCTGCTATCGTCATTCAATAAGAAGAAACCCCTCGTTTTGAATAAGATATTTTAGTTTTTTGCTTTTATTTTAGATACCAATATGGTCGTTTTTGTAAATGGGCCCTGTATAATTTCAGTTTTACTTGAGGATGATTGATAAAATATATAATAATGCATTAGGGGCTAGGTGCTGTCATTTTTTTACTTGCTGGCTTGTTGACGATATCTGCGCAGCTGTTTCAAAATATCACGCGAGTGAGAAAACAACGGTGCGTTTCCGCGTCACAAGGTGCATGCATTACGTTACGGCAATTTATCATCATATACCTATCAATCACTGGGATCTGGGGTTCAGAGCAAGTTCAGAGTATACAATAGAAGTATTTTATGCGGGTGACATGATACAGGACTGCGCCTCACGTTCCAAGTCGAAATGTAGGTTTCAATGCACCAGTGCTGCACATCAACATCGAAGCCGTCATATTCAGGTGAGGTGCTTCTCGGGAAGAATTTTCGGTATAACGGTGTTTTTGTCATGCATTTGAAGTGAAAAAATGAAAAAATCCTAGGAGCATTATGATAACCCAATTCCCAAAACTGAAGGGAATAATCCCATTCACGTCATGTCCGTAAAGTTAGCGTCGTATTCATATTCGTATTCGGATTCAAATTCGAGTAATTAGTTCAGTGGAGTAATTATTTCACGTCTGTCAAACTATCAGCGAGTTCAGCAGCGAGAAACGGGCCATCCCGATTTAAAAAGCTGAAACTCTGCTTGAGGCTCATGATGAATAATAATAATATAAGAATAACCAGTAACCTCATAATATAAATCAGAAATAGGAGCCAAAAAGTTATATTTAAAGTTATCGAATATTTCGCTCCTGGAGCTTCGTCAGCGATAATTACAGAAAAACCTGCAATTATTTTTTTGTAATTATCGCTGACGAAGCTCCAGGAGCGTTCGATAATTTTAAATATAACTTTTTGGCTCCTATTTCTGATTTATATTATGAGGTTACTGGTTATTCTTTTATTATTATTATATTATCCATCCCGATTTAGCTGAAAATTTACTCTAAGAGCCTTCTCAGCACGCTGATTCAGAAAATAATGGTTTCTAGGGTGAGAAACTTAACCGTTCTCGAGATAGAACCCTCTAAACTTTTTCCCACCCATGACCGGGTTCTCAGCACGCTGATTCCGAAAATCATTGTATTTAGGGTGGGATTCTTTACTGTTCTCGAGATAGAACCCTCTAAAGTTGTTTCCACCCATGACCGGGGCATCCCGATTTGGCTGAAAATTTGCTCACAGAGCCTTCTCGGCAAGCTGCTTCCGAAAATCACGGTCTCTAGAGACTAGAGTGGGAATCTTTACCGCTATCGAGATAGATTGGTATATAAGGATAAAAGAAATGGATTCGCTACAAGCGTAATTTGCAGAAGGGAGCTCAAACATGAGCTTCATTCCAATGTAGCAGCGATGCGACATTATCTTGTTCGAATCGTTTGCGGTTTGATCATCTCAAATGAGAGGCCAAGATGCCAGTTCCAACCGACCAAGGCTAGCAACTTTCCAAGGTTATGTCGACTGGCTGGCACCTGACGCGGCATCGCATACCGATTAGAAGAGGTGCTTTATACTAAACATTATACAGTGTGCAGTCGCCAGAACGTCTGTGCTATGTGAATTTCCCCGCCATGCCGATCGCTCCCCATGCTTTAGGGTGGGTGTCAAGGCCACCTGAAGTTCAGATCAGGTCATTGACCTTTGATGACCTCGGTTCACTTTTTCTAGTTTTACATGCTTCTAGGCTAGTTTTTGGAGCTGAATTCGAATTTAGCAACCACATGAACATTTACGAAGTAGTTTTGGTGACTTCGTAACATGTTACGAAGCTGTCATAGGCGGTTGACACCTACTACGAATACCCGGCAGGACCCCTACTGGTTGACCTGACCTGACCTGACCAGTGACGTACCCAAGGGGGGGGGGCACGGGGATCATGGCCCCCTGCTGAGCGCCGAAGGCGCTCAGGGGGCCCCTCAGGCCCCGGTATATTTTTTCAAACACTGGATAAAACGTCTTTTACTAGGAAGAAAAGATGATGTCTAAGTTTCATTTATGTGCCCCTGGTTACCCGAGGGGCCCCTGATGACCCGATGGGCCCCTGCAGTCATCCGAGGGCCCCCGGTTTCCTGGGCCCCTGGTCGCCTAGGGGGCCCCTGGTAGCCGGGGCCTGGTCGCATGGGGCCCCTGATTGCCTGGGGTCCCTAGTCGCCTAGGGGGCCCTGGTAGCGGGGGGCCTGGTCGCATGGGAGCCTCTGGTCGCATGGGGCCCCTGATCGCCTGGGGCCCCTCGCCAAGGGGGCCTCTGGTAGCGGGGGCCTGGTCGCATGGGGGCCCCTGGTTGCCTGGGACCCCTGAGGGCTCCTGGTTGCCTGGGGGCCCCTGGTCGCCTGGGCGGCCTGGGGGCCCCCGGGTGACCTAAGGGCCCCTTCGGAAGCAGGTGGCCCCCTCCTGGGCGAAATCCTGGTTACGTGCCTGGACCTGACCTAACCTGGCCTAAATGCATGAAGACATCATCTGTGATCAAAACTAACATGATATTAGTGATCAGCACCCCGAAAAAAAAAAACACAGCAGCTGCCACACTTTACGACATTCTAACAGGTCCCGATTTTCCCGACTTTTGGGTCATTGACCTGACCTGGAAGGTCAACCAATGACCTAGGACCTTAAAATTAGGTATCATCGGCTTTCTCTCGTCACGGGCAGCACGCTCGTTTTTTCTGCGAAGCTCTAGATTGATCAGGGGCGAAACAGCAAGGGGGTCCAACGGACCCCCCTCCCCTTACACGTTGGTGGCTGGAAAAACACCAATACGGGCGAGGGTTAAGATGCATGTGGCTTCCTTCAAATGGACACCTATTAATGCACTTTCTGAGGTATGTAGTAGCAGAAGGTACCAAACAAGCAAGTTGCAATGCTTGTACATATGTACCTAACAACTACACAGTGACGGTCACCGGTAAGAAGGCATAGGGTAACTGTGGGGAAAACGCACCCCTGGGTTAACAGAGGTTCTGATTGACTGCATAAATTTCACGCATGTATTAGGACCGGCCTTCATTCTCACAACAGTTGAGCGATCATAACAACACATCTCACTTCTTGCACATGGCTTAGATTTGATAGAAATGGGCACATTTATCTCGCTCGGACGGCACATGTTTCGTCCCACGCCTCACCTCACCGTTCGCGCCGGCTTCTGACCTCTGCTGGGCGGCTCGGCCGTCTCCGAGTCAGCACAGACCTCCGGGTCGCGGTGTCGCAGGCCCCAGGCTCTCAGAACGGCTCCAGCTCCACGGTGACGTGTACCCTGATCCTGGTCCTGCCGCCGTCCGTGGTGACCACCTGGGCGACGGCGGGCTGCGGCGCGGGGAACTCCGTCAGTCGGGAGGGCGCGCCGGTATCCACTGGGGTGGAGGGCGCCACGGCCCCCACCTGCGCGGAGGGTGCTCCGGCCTCCACCTGTGCCGAGGGCTGCCGCAGCGCGCTCAGCAGCGTGCGCAAGCTGTCGATGCCGCCCAGCTCCTGAACGAGCTGCAGAACCTGCTGCAGTTCCCCGTCCGTCTTCACGTCCATGTCCATGTCGACTTTCATGTCGATCGGGCGTATTGTCGGCGGCTCGGCGGCCGGAATCACGACGGTGTCGGTGTCTCCGCCGGCCCTGAGCAGCGGGGGCGGGACGGTGAGACGCGCTTCGGTGACTGGCGGCGGCGTCGGCCTGAACTGGGTCACTCGCGGCGGCTCGGTGTCCATGCACGGCGCGTCCTCCCTGCAGAAGCCCCGCTCGGCGTCGAAGACGGTGCCGTCCTCGCAGCTCTTGACGTCGGCCACGCGGTCGGAGCAGATGTAGAACTCGCGGCAGTTGTCCGGCTTGGGGAAACGGCCGTCGGACGGACAGGTGAAGACGGCGCTGTTGTCGTACTCGGGCGTGGTCGGCGGGCTGGGTGTTGTAGTCGTCACCGGAGTGTCCTCGTACATGCCCAGCTTGAGCGCCTCAATGAGCGGGTACTGGCGGCCCGTGCAGAAGCCGCGGAAGTCGTCCTGGCTGAGGCTCCAGACGGCGGCGCCGCCCAGACCCTTCTCTCGGATGTAGGCTCCCTTTCTGCGCATCATGAACTGGTCGTCGTAGGCGACCCACTGGTCGCCGCCGACGGCGTAGGGGCCGGCGGCGTCGGGCAGCGGTCGGTGCGCCGTCCACCCGTCCATGCTGACGTGCTCGCAGATCTCGGTGAAGGACAGAGCGCCGGCGCCGCCGGTCAGCTTCCCGGGGAAGCCTAGGTCGGCGGTCGGCGCCCCGAACCCGCTCACCGCCGGATCGCTCAGGGTGTACGTCTTGCCGAACGCCGGCACCGCCAGGTTGAACTTGGCAGGGTCGGCGCCCGAGCTGAGGTACATCTGCACGATAAAGTCGACAAAGTCTGTGCTCTCGGGGTCGGTGGTGAACAGTGGCGAGTGGTGGCTGGTCCGGTTTCCGTCGCACGAGCGGAACTGGTACACTAGAGCGTTCACGTAGTCAACTGCCTTGGCGATCCTGGGGACGTCGAAGTCTTCCATGAGCATTGTGACATTGCCGGGAATGGTGGTACTTATGATGAGCCTCTCTTTCCCCGACGTCTCCGATTCCTTTTTAACCTCGCTAGCGAACAGCTCTAAAAGCCGCGCGTGTCCTTCCTTTTGGCGTGGAACTTTCCAATCTAGGTCAATGCCATCGAAGTTGTGCATTCTGACGTATTTGATCGCCTCTGCCACGAAGCG